TGCCCTTAGGAAGTGATGTCTAAAGTGACCAGCACTGATGGACTCCAGCACCTGCAAAAACATAATCCCTGGGGACCTTATTTACTAATTGCTTGAGAAGCCTGAAGTCTGCTCTCCTCATATCCAGAGCTGAGGTTTTGCCAGCACTTTTCCCCCTGTTAACAGAGACTTTAAAATCGATTTCTTCTTGGTCACCGTGGCCAGGACAGCTGCTAGTCTCCACTTTGCTCACAAGATCCACTCCTGTTGACAAGCAGCAGGTCAAGCGGGGCATCTTTCTCAGTTACCTCCCTTAGGAGCTGTTCCATAAAGTTGTCATCCAGTTTTTTTAGGAATCTCAGAAGAGCCAAAGAAGTCCTCTAAAGTGGATGAAAACTGTGTTAGATTCTCAGTGAAGAAATACCCGCTCTTCACTGTTGACTGTACAAGGGCTTCAAAGTTTTGGATGCAGCTGGATAAGGAAGAAGACAGAATGTAAAGTGCAGGGCAAATAATACATATGTACTTTTCTGGTTGTGCTACAGTAATGCAATTGCCACCAGGTTAAACAACATTTCAAGTGTCATATCTGTCTTTTTGCAATGTCTAGGATGATGAGAAATGCAATTTAACTTTAATAAATTCATAACTTTATTGTCATCTGCAGCAAATCCTAACTGACTGTTCAAGGTTCCTCTTCAGTTCTCTACAAATGATTATTTGACTGCCTGTCTTCTAATTTTCTAATCTCGATCCATACTGAATTTTAAAACAATAAAAATCATTCAGTGTGCTGAGTCTAGGATAAGAAAAACATTTCTATAAAGTTCTCAAAGTGCAGATTTGCTGTCCTTACCAATTCTCTTGCTCTCATGGTTTAACCGCAGACAGCAGCTCAGCCCCACGCAGCCGACTGCTCACCCCCTCCCCGTGCTGGGATGGAGGAGAGAACTGCAAGACTAAAAGTAGGCAAACTCGTGGGTTGAGATAAAGACAGCTTAATAGGGAAAACAAAAGCTGCACATGCAAGCAAAACAAACCAAGGAATTCATTAATTTGGCACTTCAAGTGGGCAGGCAGTTGTTAAGCCATCCCCAGGCAAGCTCGATCACATGTCATGGTGACTTGGGAAGACAAACACCATCACTCTGAACATCCCGCTGCTGCTCTTCCCCAAAGCTTTACATGCTGAGCACGATGCTGTGCATGGTCTGGAATATCCCCTGCTTCAGTTAAGGTCAGCTGTCCCAGCTGTGTCCCTTCCCAACTTCCTGTGCACTTCCAGCCCACTTGCTGGTGGGGTGGGGTGAGGAGCAGAAACAGCCTTGACTCAGTACAAATGCTGCTCAGCAATAATGAAAATACCCCAGTTACTAGCACAGAATCAAAAGACAGCCCCATACCTGCTACTGGGAAGAAAATTAACTCTGTCCCAATCAATACCAGCACACATCCTTACTTATAAGCATGATTCATTATTATACTATAGGACCAAACTAGATGAATTTAAACAGCACTCCACCTATGTGTAGAAGAAAGTGACATAAGACAATATAACTGTGGTTACAGTTGATAAAGGTAGTCCTCCCTGGAGATTTTTATTCTAGGGAAACAATTATGTACGCTGAATAAGCTCATATTTTCACAAGGCCTTTAGTGAAAGCTTGCTGTTCACTTCGAGGACAGGCTCTGTGAAGGCCATTGCCATCAAATTTAGCCTGTCACTATATTGATTAAGGTGAGGTCATTTTTGCCCTTGATGTTTGTCCATTTTTTTATATTACAAAATTCTTCAGTACAACATATATTATTTTTGGAAGAAAGTGATTTTTTTCTTTCATCATTTCTACCCAGTTTATAAAAAGTATTTATTGTTTCTTTTATTATGCTTGAAAATATAGTGAGCTCAGCCAGAAGCAAGTGCATGTTTAAAATGTCTGTCTTAGCTGAGAATGGACGCTGGGTAGCTGACAAGTGCTAACCCAAGCATGACAAGTTAGTCTAGTCTGCAGTTTCCTTTGTGGGTTTACACATAATCATTGCAGATAATATCAAATAATAATTAGCATTTGATGAGATTTGGGGTTTTTTTTTTCATCTTGCATATATTTAAAGTGCTCAGCTGACTATAATACTACATTAATTTGTATCAGTTGCTTGTTTGGCAGTTTCTCTTCTCTGTATTTGCTGTTACTGCCAATAATGTATTTTGGACTCTTAAAAAGTGAGGGAGGAGCTGAGACAAAAGCAATCAGTAAAGAGGAAAAAAGACCTCAAAAGCATGATGGCAACCTGTCGCCTCAACCTCAGTCAAAGATCTGGCAGTTGCAGGAACCTGATTAGCACTGCTACAAGACAAATGCAGCTGTCCATTCCTGGTCTGCAGGTGTTGCAGTAGGTATTCCATTGTCTGACAGACAGTGTTTTCAATCAAAGTAATTATCTCCTGTAGGAAAAATAAAGTGTTAGCCATGTTGTTCTAACAGCAATTACCCATCTGTAACAAGATGGGCACTTGGAGAATACTATTAAATCACGGAGCTTCTGACCCTGTGGTCATTAGATTTTCCTTTTTCATTTCCACTTGATGTCAGGTGTCTTCCTCACTATCTGCCTAATTCTGGCTTCTGATGCTGTGTGCTTTTGAGGGTCCTAGAGATAATGTCTGAGCCTTGAAAGGCTGTTTTGTGCAGAACTGAGAGCTGGCTCTGTTTCCTTGGTGTCAGCGAGCACTGAAATGACAGTGCCCAATCTGTTGTAGCCAGAGGACCGAGCATCAGTGCAGCAGGAAAGAGAAAGTATTCACAGAAACAGAACTGATCTAAAACTGCATGAATGAGGTTTAGTCATACATTAAATGTGTTCTACCTGACAACTTCAGAAATAACAGCTTGCAAATCTAGAAGGCAACAGCATGTAGCAAATATGCCACTTATGTTCATTTCCAGGTAAAGGACTGTATGTATAATTTATTTAATGTCAACCTTGCAGGCAGCCAGCCTCTAACCATTTAGTGCAGAGGGGCTTACTGGATCCTTATTTTTCCACCCAAATTAACTAGGGTTGGGAGCATCCACTGTCCCTAGAAATTCATGTGGCTCTTGTTTGCTTTTGTTGTAGCTATAAAAAGTCCACACACTGCATCAAACTGCATGCAAACAGAGCAATTATAATCTTCCCAAAATGCAACAGGAGTGGGTTCTCAAGGAATTCCCCTACACAGTTTGAAGTCCAGAGGAGGTTGGCAAAAGAGATTGGAGCAGGCATTGAAATGTGCCTGAGGCCCCAGCCTCTGTGGAGATAACTAAGAAACACAAATTATGTCAGAAGTAAATGATTTCAACATGACAGAATTTGCCAGATTTAGATTAGATATTAGGAAGAATCCTTTACTGTGAGGGTGTCGATACACTGGAACAGATTTCCCAGAGAAGCTGTGGATGGCCCATCTGTGGAGCTGTTCAAGCCCAGGCTGGATGGGTCTCTGGGTATCCTGGTCTAGCAGAAGGTGTCCCTACCAATGGCATGGGGGTTGGAGCTAGATGATCTTTAAGGTCCCTTCCAACCCAAACCATTCTATGGTTTTTCAGTCTAGTATCCATCTGTGCTCCTTGTCTGCCTGCCTTTCAGGTGTGTGCCAGGGGTCAATGACTCGGTGTTCACACCCTGAAACCACAGCACTGCTCAGAGGCAGGTGGGATACTTTGCAGGAATAGACATTATTTTCTTTTTATATTATGGAATTCCACTCTTACTTTTTTCCTAAGCCAAATTCTGGTCTCAGAATTTGTATTTCTTGTGTTAGATAAATTTCCGCAAGAGTTACAGAAACGTTAATTAAGAAGTAGTACAGATTTTTGTTTCATGTGTTAGGGCTATGAAATATTTCTTTGGTGTTGCTTTAGTTCTTTAATTTTATTGCTGCAGGAGATGGCTGCTCATATACATAGCAAATGGAAAATTCTTTGACAAATTAGTTGACTGGCAAGCCAGGTTCAGTGTCTTCATCCACTTTGTAATGTAATTTAAAAAAAAATATTTAGCAAGGAAAGTAACTGTGATTTGATCATCGAAGTTTAGACAGACAGTGTGACCTAGGCGTGAAGAGTAATTATTTTCTAACTGTGGGATCACCTATCCACATCCCTCACATATTCTGTTAAATTAACCTTTGTCACCACAGACAGGCCATTGTCTGGTCTCTTCAAGCTCAAATGACCGTATCTAAACTCCTTACTAGGAGCAGCATGCTGGGCTGGCACAAAGGAGATAGATGGTTCAGCTAACCTAAGGCACAAGGGTTCAACCAAGCACCTTGACTTCTTCAGAACTACTTTAAAACACTTCTCTCCCTCCTGCCAGGACTCTCCTGCTAGCATATTTGGAGTAAATGCAGTGATCATAGAGATTTGTCCTGGATGCAAGGTGGTGTCGGTGGCTGGTGCTGTACTGCAGCATGGAGGTGCTCTGCGTGGTGGCTGCTCCAGGTGCATCACTGACATGCCCAAGATCACTCCTCTAGGTTACAAACAGAGCTCATATTCTCATTGATTGTTTACTCCTGTATGTGAAACTGTGAATGATTTATACATTTTTCATATGATAAAATTGTTTGTTCTCAGAATATGAATGTGACTAGTTGTCCCATTATGTTTGCACAATCCAGAACGCTGCAGAACATTGTGGATGATTAACCCCAGGAAGGCCAGAAGAGAACCTCTAACCCTGCCTTCCTAAGAGTAAAGTTCATGGACATAACCTCATTATGACCTCAGTTTATAATGTTTAACATTTTAATATAACAAGTTGTGACTTTGGATGGGGAATTTTTATTTGAAAATAAATAAATATTTTCTCTAATGGACATAATGGGATATATACTTCTTTTAGCTGGTGGCTCTGGACTGATGAGTAGCAGTGGGTTTATTGTTCTGCACTGAAATACATCCCGTCTAAAAACATGGTAGTGCTTTGCTTACCTGCTTCTTTCTTTCCTGCTTACACATTTTGTTTTTTTGTTTTTTTTTACTTAAAGATACATGACTTTGCTCTCAGAAACTGATAGAAACTAAAACTGGTGCCTTCACTCATTTCCCTGCATGGAGAATAAAGGAGAGAAAAAAAGCCGGACTTTGTTTGTATGTTGAGCAGAGATTAGTAGCAAGTATAACCTTTTTGATAAAACCAAGAAAAGAGCCACAGTTCTGGCCTGTGTATCAGGGCATTACCTCAAAAATTACATATTTAGCAAGAATTCTGTGGATTAAGTCTATGGCATCTTGTTCTTTAATAGGCTACCTTCTAGGAAAATGGAAAACTGTATGCATACCAACATGTAGAAAACTGCCAAAGTGACCATCTTTTTATCCAAAAAGAAAACAGATGCTCTTAGTGTCTCAAAGAGGTATTTCTCACTCCTTTCTCACTATTTTGCACCATTTTCAAGGCTGCATTTCATGTGCATAAAGCTTAAATATTCTGTGATTAGTGCATGCTTGTGTGAAACACTGGCAGTGAGCTTAGGGAAAAATGCCACCTTGAATCACATTGTGTGGTGCCATCCTAGAGGTACAGCACATTCCAGGGTGAGACAGAACAGCTCAGACAGAACTCCTGTACCAGCCAAACAGGGAAACAGAGATAACCCATAATTTCATACAAAGTGCAGTTGGTAAGAAAGAGACTGCAGAAGAAAAAAAAAATCACTTTTTTTTTCAAGAAGTAAGGTCTTTGATTCTCCCTTAATCTTTTTATTCAAAGGTACATACTCCATTCAGTGATTTTTTTTTTTCCCCAGGAGAAAGACTGGTAGACAGGATCAGAGTCAACTGAATGCAGAAAGATTATCTTCTCATTTATCATGTCAAGAGTCCAGACATGAATAAACCAGAAGTCCTAGTCTAGGCAGTGTGCTTGGGTTGGCTGCTGATGCAAGAAATGAAAAGGGACTCCTGAGTATACAAACATCTCTGCTTCAGGTGGGCTCCTATGACCTTTTTAATACCATGTCAGGGATCTTCTTGCTTGTGCACATCACTGTTTCTGCAATACCTGGTCACTTGTTCAGCTGCTACAGCCTTCTCCCTGGAAAAGACAAAGTCTAATTCTTGAGAGGCCTTGTGTCAGGAGTCATGCTATTTTGGGGAAATGTAAAAGTATCTATTTGGGTGAGGAAAATACCTTTTCTGTAAGAGGAGCTTTTCATTGCCATGGGGTTTCAGTGCTGTTTATGTCCTGCAGAATTATTTTCCAGCCTCCTCCTTGTATTTGAATAGTTAATTCCCATGTTTCAGGAATCTGTGCTTCAGCCAGCTGTTTTCAGGTATATTTTTCATCCTGTCATCATCATCTGAGCAGGAAGGTTCCTCTTGAAGTAGGATATGTCCTGTAAATAAAATAAAATGTTCGAGTTTAGCCATGTCCTTGAGGGAAGAAAATGAAAATTTTAGGATAATAATAGTGAGTTGTATTTGAGAAAATACTCCAAGAAGAATATGATTTTTGAGCAGCTCATGAAATAACTTGTATGTAGTAGCCGCTTCTTAAACAGAATTGCTTATGCCTTCCCACATTTTGTTAATTTTAACTTTCAGTGTATTTGTATGTGTTAGGTTTAAAAAAATGTTTAGTGTGACTTGGGTGAAATTTTTGTTCACATGTCACATCTGGAACAATATAAAAATGTTAGAAGTGCCATCAAGACATTACCCTTCTGAAGTATTTATTTATATTTCTATCTTTTTCTGCTCCTTGGAAGTAATCCTCAGTAGTTCATGCAGCAGAATCTTTCTTTGCTGACTAGTTGTGAAAGGAAGGGAGATTACATAAGCAAAAAAAAAATAAAAAATCATGAGATACCTTTGGAAAATAAGACCTTAGAATTGTTCAATTTGCCCATAAGATAAAAGAATTCATAAAGCATTTCAGTAAAACAATAGAAAATTATTTTAGCGCTATTTTTAATTCCTTCTGCTGTGCTGATTTACTTCTGTGAACAAAGCAACCAGAAAGCTTAATAAGTTTGGGCCATCAATAATCTGCATGCCAGTGAAACCCAGATGCTCATTGTAAGACTTTGTGGAAGATGATAAAATCTATAATTTCCTTTAAATTCATTACAGTTTTGTTTATTGAACAGAAATGTGCTGCTTAATTATTCATTCTTCTCCAGAATCTAAGGAGGATCCTTTGCCCTGCTTTAAGTAGTGCCTGAGAACTCACTTTAAGTGCCTATACATGGCAAACCCCTCTAATGATTATCTAGATTAAGAGGAAAATTATTAAGATTCCTCTGAGAACAAGCTTGTTTTTCTACTTTTAAATAAGAATTCTTAATTCTATTGTTTCTTGTATATATCGTTTAATGTCAGTGAACAGCAGGTTCATTATAATGCATTAGTACTAGGTCAGTGAATTTTTCCTGCCAATCTATACTGTTGTCTCTAACATATATATATATATATATATATATATACACTATACTGTTTGTCATCAAACACAGTCTAAAGCAACACTTCCAATCCCTGACACAATACAGATGAACTTGATTACTCTATATTTAATTGAGATTGAAAATGGTATAAAAAAAGCAATGGAAAATATTTTTTCATCTGACAACTAACATAAAGCAGCATCATTTTAGCTATCACACATAGCTGATTTATTGTTGATGTCATAGAAAAGTGTATATTTGTACTTACCCACAGATATATGATGTGTGCATCCCTCTGATCCAGGATGTGAACGATGCAGAAATTCAATAAGATATCTGGAGCTTAGCAGAAGGAAAGGAACTCATCAAAGACTGCATGTGATCAGTTACCATCATACAAATTTTATTTTAGCTGTATGCATACATTAAATGTCATCAAATGTACATGTAAATATGCCAACTTGGAAGCCTGATATAGTGTAGAATATAAAAACAGATTCAATTGCAGCATCCTATTTCTGACAGTAGCAGCCTGATCCTAAAAACCCTTAGGGCCTCAATGTGACAGAAGCTGGCAGTTTATATTTTAAGCATAGATCTAAAATACTGTATAATTTTGCATTATGACAATTTACACTAGAAAGTGAGAGATGGAATCAGTGGATGTCTCTGTTAAAGGATTATTCAGGTGGAAAACATGATCTCAGCAAGGCAGACAGAGATTTAAACTGGTCACAATGGTAAAATGGTATTTAGATGGTAAAAATAGAACTTCAGTAGAGCTGCAAAATTTGGGTCTGGTCTTAGACTTCAAACATCGCTAAATTCTGAGTAAATCTGTTCTGCACACCTAAAGTGGCAGCAACAGCAGGCCCAGCTGCCACCATGCAAATGGCACAGTGTGGGAGCCTGGAACATTCCAGGAGCTGCAGAGCACTCATTTACTAGAGTTTATGAGTTATCCCCATCATGTTTGGACAGCAGTATCCATAAGATGGTTAAAAGGTCAATTCCCCCCCAGTGTGTGAGAAGTGTAGATTTAGTTAGGTGACTGAAAATGCACTCTAGGGGTTGAGTCATTCAGATTATGAGATGAGGGTGATGACAGAAATCCACTTCAGCTGATGCAGAAATATGTTGTTAAACATACAGGCATACATGTGGACATTGACATTTATGATTATTGAAGTTTTACACATGGATTCTGTTGCACACCTATTTCTTGAACCTTATTTTAGAAATTATCATGCTTGCATGTCTTTGCATTAGCAGCCTGGAAATTATCCTGTGTACCTATTTCAAAACATGGGACTTCGTGTGGTGTAATATATGCTCTGAGCACATTCCAATGAATTGTTGGGTTCTAATGGGAGCTACCTGAGAAATTTTAATCTTCAGGCACTAACTGTAATGGCATGGCAGCTTAAGCTTTGATGATATCTATCGCTGATGCCATATCCAACTGCTGTTTTTATTTTTCCAAGACAGGCATAATGAGTTCCACGTAGTGTATGAAGGTCTTCTCCACCTTGGCATGAGTACCATCTGCTACAGCTGTACTCAGTTTATAAGTAGCTCTGTAGGTTGCTTAGATGGATTTTTATACACTTCAATGTCACAGTTTAAAGGTAAAACCCCTAGTTATTTAGCTCTGAAAGTAGTATTTCCAGGTTAGAAAGTGGGGTTGAATGAATTTATGCAGTAGAAAGTCTGTATACAAGGAACAGCATCCACAATAAAGCGCAGACATTATGGCAATCAGCCCTGATTACATGCCTCCTCCACTATGGGATTTATGTGGATGTGAGAGCTGTCCTTCTCTTAGATAGTGTCTTCATGCTCATTTAAGCACAGCAGCTCACATTAACTAAAGAGGGTTAACATGAGCCATCTTTCTTTTGAAGGGCAATTTGCTTTTGGAAGCTGCTTGGTGATCTCCATGCTGTGTTTTTCTCAGCTGGGCCAGGCTCAGCCTTTAAAGCCATTTTCCATGCAAGCTGAGCAGTGCAGCTGCCCCTCTTAGCACATTCCTCTCATTAGCTACAGCCTGGGAGCTTTCCTCAGCTTCCCCTGCTGCACAGAGAGCTTGGTTCCAGGACTTCTGCTCCCCTGGGGACTCCTCATGCCCTCACATTTTCCAAAAGCTTCCACTCCCCAGTGAAGCTGTCTAGGCTTTGCAGCAGGTCTGTATTTCCCTTTATTCTCTGTGGTCTGAACTACATTAGGAAGAGTACAGAGTTGACCAGTGTGGGTTGAGAAATATCCTGTGCAGTGTTGCTCGGGCCACAGATTTGTACAATAATGATTCAGGGAAGAAGACCATGCTACATCATCATCTTCTGTCTATTTATGATTATCATGCTCTGGCATGCCCTTTGCCTGGGATTTGTAGAAAATGCTTTAATGGTTTGTCAGAGAGTAAAAGACCATGATCTGAATATTATTTGCTGTAGTAATTGCATGTTTTCAAAAGAAGAGTCTTTGAAGACTCCCTTTTCTGGCCTGTCATTTTCTTTCTGTGGTTATTATTTTAGCTACCTTCATTACTATGGGTTTGTTTGGACTTGTGTCAAGGACAGTCCCACACATTTCTTTGAGAAAATCTTTCAAAATGTTCCACAGATGCATCTCTCATTCATTTCTAGCAGATAAAGCAGGTGAAAAAAGCATGCTGTATGAAATGTTTATGTGGCATACAAAATAATAATGACTGAATTTTTAATACCAACTAATAGCACTGATGGCCATCCAATGTGATGATGAAGCAAGTATCTCTATCTGCATGTGAAGAAAGCAGAAAAATGCATAAATTAAAAAATTAAAAGCAAGAAATAAATATGGTACTTTGTAAAAATATATAAGAATTAAATTGTCATTTAATCTGAACAAATAATAAGAATCAAATAGCCTATTTTAATTTAACCTTTTTAATATTGTAAGTTGGTTATGAGTTGCTTAAAAATATAATTATTATGTTCTATTTTTCACAAAATATTTTGGTGAGTAATTCTAGACAATCTTTATAAATAGCTGAAAAGAAAAGTTTGGTATGATTTCAATCTTGCTTTCCTCTTCTATTCTTTAGGCAGGAGTAGTACCTTCATCATGATGAACTGACTTAGCTTTAACTATTCCAGTTTTCAGTTAAAAAAATTTCCAGATGTCCAAAAAAATCAACATGTATCTTACACTGGTGACCTAATTTGAACTCTGAAATGTAGCTCAAGTTGCCATGCAGCCACCTCTGAAACTGAGTGGGGAGGGTAAGCACCTACCAAAGGTGATTCTAGGGATCTTGAGGGAAGTGGGATGAACACGTGTTAAGGGCTCTTCAGTTTTTGGGAGTACAGGGAGGAGTAGATGGCTAAATTTTGTACAGTCCCATTTAGATGGGCAGATTTTTGCATGCTAAATGTAATGAGTCAATTGTGTGTAATCTCCACAATGCAGAGAGCTTTCACTGCAGCTCTGTTAACACAGAGTGTCAAGGGAGTACTGAGGTACTCCTACTACTCTATCACACCTGAAGGAGGCAAGAATGGCTTTGGCTCCTGATCTGGAAGACTGTAAGCACTGGCTTGTGAAGATGGGAGGAACCAGATGCAGATACTGGGGCAGTTTGCAGGCCACTGTGTATTTCAGTGCTTGCACAGGGGCTGGGGTGTCCCATCAGAGCTCGTAAGGCTGAGACAGTATTTGACTCAATGTTAAATTTCTCCTGAAGTACTGAGTACTTACGTGCTTAGACCTGAAAACTGTTCAGCAAGGGTGACACAGTGAGTTTATTCCCAGATTTTTGAAGACCAAAGAAATTCTGAGAGAAAGTTTAAACTTCTTTAACAAGAGTTGACAGATAGGACTGTGCTATAATTTTCATGCAATGCTTTCATTTTCCAAGCTGCCAAGGAGGTTTCTCAGTTTGAATCTCTCTGATTCTGCTGGTCATACATGTATCTACTGTGAATTTCTAAAGTAAATTTCCTGAAAAAATGTTAGAGAAAAATGAAGTTCCACATTAATCCTTGTATTCTAACCTAAAGGTCACAAAGTTTTTCAAATGTATTGCCTGTAGTAGGAATTATGTAGCTAAATCTCTCTGTGGCACTTTGAAAATAGATCTTTAGCAAAAGTCTCTTTCTCTGCTTCCAGATGCAGATGAGTGACCTCTGAAAAAAGAAATGAAGAAACATTAGTAGATAAAAAAGCCTTTGTGTACATTATGAAATGCTTGTAGTTATTAATAATTTTTCGTCATGATCCAATGCTGTTTGTCCTAGGACTTGACTGGGACCAGACATGGAAAAAAATATTTTTGGAAAAGTTACAGCCTATGAGTAAAAAAACTATTGTAAGTATTTATCTTAGTTTTATTGTCTTCAGTAATTACAGCTGCTTCTCTGAGCTCTTGTCTGAGCTTACAAGTCTCTTTAGCTTTATCTATCATGAGTCTGACCTTTCCTTGGGGTTCTCTGCATCCTTTGGAATTAACATACCCTTTTCTCCAGGTGTCACAAATCTGGCATTGCTCTTCAGACTTTGCACTCTTTTATTTTTATTATTTGCAGTCAGCCCTAGTGCTCATTTCCTTCCTTCTGCTGTCCAATTTCAGCACCCTCACTGGCCCTGAGCATCTCAGGATCTCTCTTGTGAACAGTTAGTGAAGGATGGCAACATTGAGATGAAAGGAAAAGTTATTTTGAACTCATAAGCTCTGATCATAATCCTTAATAAGATTCATTATTAAATGTCACCCTGACCCACTTAATTTCCAATAAAAATCGTATAGAAACTGCTTATGTAACATATTTAAGAAAAATAAAATCAGGGAATGTAGCATTTGAAAATATGTGGTCACAGAGCAGAGCTAAGAGAGGGGGACTCATGGTGGAAAACTCATTGCTAGGGATTAAATTTATGTCAGCAGTAAATATCAGTACTGTACAGATTATATTAATAAAAACATGAAGTGCTTTAAGTCACAGAGATCTTTCAAGAAGTTACTAGTAAACTAAAAAGGATCACCTCATATTATTGTCAGTAGTTTTTTCCACAGCCAGTTTCTCAAGTGTCTCTCTCAGGGAGAGAAAAACAGTCCTCAAAACTCTTCTAGGTACTTCAGGTGTTGGTTACATGCTAAGGATAAGACAGGAAGAATCCAGTCCTGTGAGAAATGGGAACTTGTCTCAGTGGACAACTAGCAACTAAACATGTAGGGTTAACTTGTTTATCTGTCCCTGGATCAAATTTGGTTATCTACCCCTGGATCTACATGTCTTTATTTGTAACCGAATTTAACAGGGTCAATATTTAAGCAGAATGGACTCTTTGCATAATCAGCTTCAAACCTGTAGTAGCTGCTCCACCCCTCTGGAGAAAGAACACTCACTAGAAAATGGAGTGCACTCTCAAGAATGCCAGAGAAATCCTGATACAAGCAATAAGCAAGCATTTCTGGTGTTTTGACTTTCTCTGATGCAGATAGGATTTCCAGTTCATAACACTGTGTACAGGTGGAAGACAAGCATTTCCTCAGCAGCTTATACCTTCTCAGCATGAGGGACAGGAGGGAAAAACTCTCCTGTTTCAATAATTGTTGTATTTCACATGTGAAAATACGTGGCAATTGATATTACCTGCTTGTACATCTTTGATTTGCATGCAAAATTCTATGCCTTTTGGAACAGGTCCATGTTCTTCTGCTGAGAACCCCAGAGCTGGATGCCCCAATCCAGGTGGGATCTCTCTCACCAGAGCAGAGCAGAGGGGCAGAATCCCCTCCCCTGCCCTGCTGCCCATGCTGCTTTTGCTGCAGCCCAGGACACCTTTGGCTTTCTGGGCAGTGAGTGCACATGGCCAGGTCATGTCCAGCCTCTCATCCACCAGCACCCCCAGCTCCTTCTGCTCACAGGTGCTCTTGATCCTTTCTCCACCCAGCCTGTCCTTGTGCTTGGAATTACCTCAGCCCAGGTGTACGACCTTCACTTGGCCTGGATGAAGTCCCTGAGGTTGGCACAGCTCCAGCTCTCAGCTGACAGGGGTACAAGTTGTTCTAGGTGCAACTGTACAACCTTAAGGTGACACACACACACACACACACACACGCACACACACACACACACACACACACACACACACACACAGCTATTTTGAATAAATTTGGTAGCGTTTCCCACTGGGACTGGCAGAAAACAGCCAATAAATTACTTGCAAAAAAGATGAAAGTGAATTATAGTTCAACCATTTTTGTATTGAACATATTGCTTTACATAGGAACGGTTGGTTTATGGCTGTCTGAAACTAATTATCTCATTCCATTCTCGATGACTTATTTATTAATGGTGCTGATTTTCCTCATACACAGCTTGGAGTACACAAAACAGTTTTATATATAAAATTGATAAATACATTTAATTTATTGATTTGAAAATGACATATTTATTTGGTCTAAAAATTTTATTGGTTCATAAGAAGAAAATATTGATTTTTTGGTGTAATATAAGTTTCAGATGTGCACTTAAGTAGAGGCAGCAGAACTGCTTATACCACTTGGTAGAAGTCTAACAAGATTTTCCATCTTATCTTTATTTTGAGGGTTTCATAGCTAGGTCATAAAATATGAGCTTGGGCTGCATCTTCTTTTAAGACAGTTGTGTATCTACTGCTTGACATCTCAGCCAAGAATGCCTTTAAACACAGTCACAGAACAGATTGGTCACTGTTAAGCTGAACATGTTTAAAGTAAATGCCCATTAATGTAACTGTAGATTTATTTCTGTTTATAATTTCTGTAATTGGCAGTTTGGCATCTTCTGTGTTTTCTGTTAAAGAAAATAATGTGTTCATTGAAGAATAATAAAAAGTATTTTAACATTACCACATGCTTTGTAGACTAACAATATGTTGACTTACAGCTCATCCTGGTGGTCCTGAAGACAGTGAGAGTATTTTCATAACCTGAAATATTAATGAGTTAATTCCCCTTAGCCCTGGGGCAGAGAAACATTTCAAGCACATCACAAGAGTGTGCCCCAAACTCAGCACGGCAACAGTGAGTTCACAGCCTTGCAGATTCCTGTTATTCCCACACACATTGTGCCTAGTGTCTAGAAAGGGAATGGTAATGAGCTGCATTCAGGGTGATTCTTTATATTTCTGTATAAAATACATATTAAGATGCTTACTTTGCATAATAAGGTTATACACTTCCCACCAGAGTGTAGGAAGGATTTTGCTGGCATTATAGTTAGCTTTACCCAGAATAGGAAGGTGTGGACAACTTCATTTATTCACATATTGTACTCCAGTCAAAGCAAGGTCAAAGGAAGATTTGGTTTTGGTTTTGGTTTTGGTTTTCTTCCTGCTTGTACCAAGATTTGCTCAGCAACAAACAGGTGGGATCTGATCTCAACTGGAAGCCTATTAGAGTTAACAGTAATGTCATATGTATTAATTTGCAGGGGGTTTCCTTCAGACGCACACACTTTTTTATATGTTTGTCTAATTATGAATTTTGTTTTTATTATGAAATAACTAGAAGGAAAAACACAACTGAATGGAGTTAGATACACTGTGTCAATTATGTCTCTGTGGATTTGCTGTGGTTTCAAGATTTTATAGAATGCCTGACTCATGACATGTCACTGCATGGTAGATTAATTCGGTCCCAGAGATTGGCCAAGTTATTTCCAGCTATGCAGATAGGCTGGACAGAGTATAACCTCTGTCAAATCTCACCTCAAAAGACAGAGTTTTATCTACTACAGACATGCAAACACTTGTTTTTACTTTCCTTCAGTCTTTGTGCTCACCTGGAGACATGACACTTATGAAACTACCCACTATGGGTATAAGTAGCCTTACAAACAGTACAGCAGCAGTTCCAGGACCTCTGCAGACAAGTACCTACATGACCAAAAGCCTTGTGCCAGAAAACAATATAAATGAGAGGTAGATGGAAAAGGATGCAGTAAACAAACTGAAAAAATACAAGGTGCTAGGGAAAACATGGGATAAAGTGATATTGTCATGGCTGTTTGAAGATTTAAAGAATGATTAAAGAGTGAATAAATGACACATTTGTAGATCCTACTGATAGATTCTTTACCAAGGGAATAAAATTATTTGGGGAGCCTGACAGATGAGTTGTATGTGTAATTCCAAATAAACTGATCAGTGCATAAAACTAGTCAGGAAGATATTGATTCATTAAAGGTCCTTGGAAAAACCACATAGATAGAACAATTTTTGTAAGGAATATTTATTTTCAGTTCCATTTAAACAACCCACTTTTGTAACACATACTAAAATCTTTAGGAAACATTCTAAGAAATTTCAGGACTTTAACCACAGGAATGAATTAAACGTATTTCAGTTCTGGAGATTAAAATACAGAATATGTTTGCATCATTCTGCATTTTATTAGTTTGCTGACTTTGGGTATGCTTTACATTAAAAATACATGACTGACACTCTTTATACCAGTAAGCCTTTTTATTGAAAAAAAATATTATTGCATTAAACTACATTCCCAGGGATTCCTTGAATAAGCTAAAAAAAAAGTCGCATTGCATGTACAATAGTGCAATTCACTTAGCTACTGTATAATATAAAACACTTTATACAGAGAATACAAAACAAAATTACTAGTTTACATATTATACTAGCCAGAGTATTATCCAGTTTTAAATATAAACTTGACGCTTTTAAAATCAATCTGATCAAATGGCATTTTTATGCAAATCTGCACAAGAAATATACATGTTGAATGTATCCCAGAAGTGCATCAGATACAAAAAAAAGTCCCAAACAACAACAACAAAAATTTATCATGGTGTGACTCAGGAAAAATTTTATTGGAATTTTAAGGTGTGGGTAACCTCTTTCCTTGGATTATGTACCAAGAATATACAATCAAGCTAAAATAGATTATTAACTTGGTGTGTATATATCACTGCCATAAGGATACTGTAACTATTTTGAAAATCTATTTAAATAAAATCAAAATTTTAGCACGGCTCCATACATAAGGCTGAATAATGCTTTTAATAATTATAATGATACATATTTAGAGTATATTACTGATTAAAAAAATGGCAGCAATTAGAGAAAATAAACAATTTCAGCTGTGCCAATAGCTTTATTACATTTCTCCAAGAAAATCTCTTCTGTGCACTAAGAATGGTATTGGACATTGCCTTTGTTTGGTAATCAGTGATTACTGTTTTTCTGTTGTGCTCTTTCTGTTCTTAATCTCTCCTTTTCTCCCCATTAAAACATCTCCAAATTCTAATTTCCATTGTTCCAAGAATTAAAATTAATCTTATTAATCTTCATTGTCAATGTATTTACCTTGCCATGTTGGTATGTACAATGATGCATGGAAATCCTATTGTTTCATTTCTTCTAGAGCCCTGTTGTATGGTGCATACATTAAGGGGAAACAAATACATCTGTCTTCCATAAATGGTCTGTGTAGTAGGATATGGTTAAGTTTGATTTGGTCACGTTTCTTGCCACAGAAGTTTCTACAGTATTAACATTGTCTGGGAGAAGTGGGAATACAAAATATGTGTACACACACTAAAAATGAGATTAGCCCATCATTCCTTCAGTTCCATATTTTTCTTTTGATGTTATCTGCTTAGGATACAAATGAACTCTTATACACAATGAGAACAGTTGGGTTTACTTCGACAGAGATGAAACTGGGCCCATAAATTTAAAGGCTTTGTGGGGCTGGAAATGCATCTTTTGTGCTGGTATTATCCCTGGATTGTGGCTGGTGATGGCCACACAGCCCAGTCAGCCCCTCGAGGGCACAGCTTGACCTGTTACTCCAGATGCCCAACTCTGTTTCTAGAGACTTATGACTAATGCTTCCAAGTGGTCCACTGACTGAGTGATCTCCACCCAAGCAAATAATAATTTTCACAGGTGTTAAGTTAGAGTAAGTGGAATATGTTTGACTCTCAGAAAATAAAGTATCAGAAGTAAAGAAACTATATGTAAATTCAAATAATATTTTGGGAAAATTTTCAGCCAAAATTGAAAGGAAGAATTGTTAAACTCTGAAAATTTTTAGTTCTATGTTCTTCCCCCCCAAAAATTTTTGACTTTCTTAATTCTGAAACAATAATTTCAATTAAAAAATTACTCTACAATTTAAATGAGAAAAATAAATATAATTTATATGCTACTTACATACAAATAAATCAACACCATAATGGCATGAATCCATTTTTTTTTTAAGGAGACTAAAAAATAATTTGGTAAGTAATCAAAACAAAATATGTTTGAGGCTGCTGGTGCCACCAAGCTTTTTCAACACCAAAATGTTTGTTTCTGCATAGTCTCCATAATTGTTTTTCAGATAATGTTTTTCAATAGCTAAACCATCAAATATTTAAATCTACTTTGAAAATACAAAACTAGCAGCCTCAACTTGTAAAGTGATTGGAAAAGTTTGGTGTGTTACCAGTCTATGCTGATGAAGCTCCAAAAAGACAGAAATTTAAACAATTCCATTTTATTGCAATAGATTGATGTATTTTGATTAAAATGCAGAAAATTGATCCTGTTGTGTTTTAAAGACACAACTTATTTGCAACTAGATTTTTCAGCTTCTTCAGGTTGCTGAATATAATGGAATAAAATTCCTCCAAAAGTTTTTCAATGTTTGTTATATTGATTCTGAAAGATACATTTTGTGCACTACCTTATTACAAATGAATTGAAATTATTTCAAATGTTTTTAATCCAAACAAACAGGTACTGTCTGTTGGATACTTCATGGTCCAATTTTATTGGGAAGCATGCCTGCAGTCTAACCCTAATTATGAACTAATTTCATGCTAAATATGCTGTGTTCAGTTAGAAACATTACAGAAAATGTCAAACTATGCCATTCAAACAGATGCTGAAGCCTTCACCTATTTCCAGATACACAGTTATTACGAACAATTTCAACCACACATTACTCTGGAGGTTGGATGCATGCATTCAAACATTGTGGATTCGTAATTTCAATTTACTTGTTGAGAGTTTGGGAAGCCATGCGAGAATCTTGACCTATTTGTTTAAATTCAATGTACTTTTAAATGTTGAGTACTTGAACAAGTTTTTCTCTGAGTCTCAACCTGTAGAGGCAGTTTTTGATCAGAGTTTTACTTCTGCATCTTTATGAATATCAGCATGATTTTATAGGAACAGCCAATTGTTTCCGTTGTTTGCGAAAGGGATGTAAAATATTTACATCCTTTGGGATATTTACATTCTTTGGGAAAGACTCTTCCACACAGCAGAGCTCTGTTTGGTAGGAAAAAGGTGTTGGAGTTTTGGCCAAGGACCTCTGAGGTTCACAGCCAGCGCTGGCTTCTTGGCAGTTGTGGGCTGCTGTGTCTCACCCCACATACCCTGTGACACAGCCATACACAGGCAGTGCTGCAGAACTTGTCTTCTCCGTGAGCCTCCTGGGGTGCTCGGCTCAGGGAGAAAAGATGCAGCCTGCTTCTGCCAGCACAGAGCTGCCTACACTAAGGGAATACTTTGTTGTGTACCTGTGGCCTGACTGCAGTCCCTTTACACTGTCCAAGCAACGCATGTAGGGATGTAATCACTAAAGTATCTTCAAGATGCTGTTGTGGACCTCATATTCTAGTGCTAACCCATTGCCCCACCCTCTGTGCCTCCCCAGTTTACTTTGGCCAGGAGACAGCTGGTTTGCTGGTCCCAGATACCTTATTTTTTACTCAGTCTAAAATACCTCAACCAAACCAGGCACTGTTTCATATACAAACTCAGAAAATCAAACCTTTGAGGGGTGTCAAGATTGCTCTTAAATTTATTTAAATTGTGCTACTTTAAATCCTTTATCAGTGTTGATATTGACCCCATTTTGTCTGGGTGCTGTGGTCCCTTTTCTACTGACAGTCATAAACCTCACTTTGAGCTATTCTTTTAAAACATTCTGTAGAATGACACTGGCCACCCATCCTTCTTGTGATAGTATCACAAAGGGCTTTAAATCGGCTTTTCCTCAGTGATACAAGAATAAAATCAACATTCATATGCTGTCAGCCAGCTTGTGGACTTTAAATGTTGTGCTCTCATCAAAACAGTAGATTTCCCCTCAGACGTGATTTAATGCTGAATGCTTTATTTTATTTAAATTTGGGGTTGGAGCCATGGCGAAATTATTTGGGCTAGTTTAAGTAGCTAGAAACATTGAAAACTTCTTTTGCTGTAGGTAACTGTTGGGTCTGGATAGAACAAGAGTAGTGAGGGGGCTCTTGTCCTTGTAGTAAGGGATGAAGTAAGTGATTTCGGTGTACAGCAGAAGGTGTGGCTGCGTTCAGGGGTGGTGTAAATAAGGCTGGGATATATGCAGCCTGTGGCAGTGCCGGGAAGGCCAGTGGGGAAGGGTGCAGGGGAGTGGCAGAAACCAAGTGCAGTGGGTGTCCTGTCAGCAAAGCAGGGTGGGTGGGAATAAGGGCTGGGGCTAACGGGGAAAGTGATATGGGGGCAAAATGTGCCTGAGAGAGGGGGTGGAGGGGTGCCAGGGAGAGATGGCTGCCGTGGGGGTGCACAGATGCCGAGACAGCAAAGCGTTGCAGCAGCGTGTGGTGGATGGTGGTGACAGTAGCCTGCTGCTGAACAGGGAGGGCAGGAACTGCTGGTGTTGCAGAAAAGGCAGCTGGTCCTGGGGCAGGCAAAACTTTCAGATGTTTTGCCAGAAGTTGTTTCTGCATGTGCTGCTGGGCTTGCAGCTGGAGCAACCTGTATTTGTCTACTTCTTCTGGTGTAAATGTGATAGGCTGCTGTGTTAAAGGAGGCAAGGTGGGTTTACTGTACACTTCTAGGTCATTTAGTGTGTCACCGTACTTCTGCATAGCATTGTCACAAAAAGAGTCTGAACTGCCTTCTGCCTGGTTGGAGTCCATGTTTACATCATGTAGTTCTTCTTTGGTCTCTGTTGAATTAGCAACAGAATATCTATTAGTGGGAAAAGCACCAGGGAAATCATTTGGTACTGGATCACAGCTTTGTATAAAGGGCTGCACTTCACTAATGAAGAAATTGGTTTGTTCCTTTATTGCTGTGCTCCTCTTTATGCTTGGGCTCTGATAGCCTGTTTCAATTTGAATTATGTCTTTAAGAGCACAATGATCATAATCAGTTCCAGGTGAAAGAGTAACATTAGTTATCTCTGATGCTTCAGAGTTCTTTTCCTTCACACTGTTTCCCAATGAACTGATTTCATTATGTCCCATGTCATTTTTACCTATGCTTAGCACTTCCTCTGGCAAAGGTAACATTGCAATGTCATCTGCTGATGAGGAAAACTGATGAGCAAAGTGACTTTGTGAGTGATCCTTTAATTCTACCACACTACTGATTGAAAATCTCTCTGAATCCTGCATTTGTTCTTGGGTTTTCTTAGACTGCACTCTTTCCAAAAGTAACTTGGCTGTCATTGACTTTCTTTTTCCACATATATCTTTTGCCAGGTTTTTGGAAGAGCAGGTGGCAAAGATTTTAGACTGACTATTCACATTCAGAGAGTTGTAATGTGCAGTTTCAACTTTTCCTGGTTCAGTGTTAGAACCTGTCTCAGCATCCTCTTTTGTTTTGTTGTCACAGTTTTCAGTCTCTTTTGAGAAGGATCTTGAACTGCTGCCTCTTGATATTCTGCTGCTAGATGATCTTTCACTGCTTCTTGAATCACTGGTGGAACCACTTTTGGATTTGTGGTAGCATCTACTCCTACTATGCACTTTGCCAAAATGCTGATGTCTACATCTGCTGTGTTTAGACCTGTCTCTGACTTGTAAAACTTTATGTCTTGAACATCTTCGATGTTTAATTGTGCCACTCTGAATACAGTTTCTAGCTCTGTGACTTCTGCTATGACAAAGAAAATCCTCGTCTGTATCATCTGAAGTGAAAATACACTTGTGCTTTTTGTGTTTACATTTGTGCCTTTCATCTGTCTTGCTTTTCCTTTTACAGCAACAAAGTAAATTATTTCTTCTGTGATTGTTTGATGTGGGACTCATGTAGCTCATGTAGCTACTCGTACTGCCAACTGAAGTGTCAGAATAGCTGGAATGTCTGCCAGACGAGCACTTTTGAGGAGATGGGAATCTCCAGCATCTTGTGTAACTTCCACATCCTTCATTATCTGAATACCTGCTGTTTGAACTGGATTTACAACTAAAGAAACTTCCACTAGAGTCTTTTCCACTGTCACTTATGTCACTGCTACAGCTGACCACATCTTGAAAGGATCTGGAGCCATTTTTGTTCTCATATTTTTCTTCAGAATCAATTAAATTACATTTTTCAGATTTAGATTTTTTAATCCTAGACATAAAAGCAGTAAAGGAAATGCTTTCGTTTCTAATGTTCTGAGCTTTTCTTTCACAGCCATGGAAATGATGCATTAAAGGTCTCCTCAGTGTTGTTGTATAAAGACTTTTTTCTGCCACATAATCCTTTTGTGAGACATCAAGGTAAGCAGGCACTTTGGGTATATTTTCATTCAAATAATCTGCAATGCATTTTTGACCATTTTCATTAATTTCCTTCCCTGTGTCTGACACAGCTTTTTGCTTGGCCTTTCTTGGGTTTAGGGAACCTTTCATCTTCTTTGGTTTCAACAACTGATTATCTTGTTCATTTGACATTTGCTTGTGTTTTATTAAACCTGAGGGTTCATATTCATCTGCAGTCTTATTTTTAGAGAGCTCTCTACAGCTTGCTTTGTTTGTTTCGTGCTGTTTACCCTCCCTGTGATTTAAAGAGAGTCTGAAGTCAAAATACAATGGATTACAGCCATATGAAATACAGGGCTCAGTTTTTGTAAACAAAAGTAGTTCTGTGGGCCACTGCAGAGCAGTGGTGCCATCTTTGCTCACTACATGGAGGAAAGGCAATGCCTGGGGCTTAACCTCTTTAACCATGGCCTCCTTTGCAAGCGGTTCCATATGTCCATCTGTGGTTTCTGTAATCTCCAAAGATCTTTCTCTTTTTATCACTGCAGGACTGTCATTAGCGTTGCTTGAGCAGGTCAGCTCCAGTGCTGGCTGTGGTGGGAGCTCGGAGAGCTGCTCAGGCAGGTGGGCATTGCTGTGCTTGTAGGTGTTCAGCTGTGTACAGAAAGTGCTAGCTTGGCATGAAGATGAAATGAGAGTTTCTAAGAATTGTTCAGATTCATTCAGTTTCAACTCTTGCTCTGTTTCTCTCAGTGAAGCAGAAAAATTCAAATTTGAAAGAGGTATTTTGACTTTAGAAAATGAGGAATTAGATCTGAATTTTTCTTCTGTTTCCCTGTCACTACTTTTCTCATTTTCCTTTAGCATTTTAGGTTTTGCAGCTACATGACTTGATGCACTGTTATCCAAATCCATTTGGTCTTGTGTAATAGGTGACTCTTTATCCAAACTTGCTTTCAGTTGTTCCTCCAAGGGTGTGACAGAATGACAGCCCTCAATAGTTTGCTTTTTTTTATTGTTGGGGGACTCACTACAATCATTTCCTTCTTCAGAGTTCTCACTGAAGACTGATGCTGAGGACTCAAGCTTCAAAGGGACCTTTTTAGAGAATGAAAAAGACACTCCTGCCCTTTGAGAGGCATTGTTGCTATCTGGGAACATTTGTGGGACGTGATTTCCAAGTGCATGGTGTCTTTCAGCGGGGGGATGGTGCCTGCTTATAAGAAGTTGCTGTTTCTCTAGTATGCTTTTGGAGAAACCTTGTCCTTCACTTGTGATGGTTCTTTGAGAACTGGCTGTGAACTTGCTGCCCTTGTACAGGAAAATGCCATCTGGTGATTGCTGCTTTTCCAGGACTAAGCGGGGGGCTTTAAGCAATGGTCCACTCCTGGTGATGCTTTAAGGTAAAAAAAGAAAGAAAGCTGTAGTAAGTAACCAAGTCATGACAGAGCCAGCATTTGACAATGTCAAAAGTGAAGGAGGGCTTAACTCAAATTTTTACAAGGTAAAGCTAAGTTTCAACGTGGTAAATGTGCAGTCTATCATGAGTTTGAGCTTGTATATGGACAAGACAGTCCTCACACATAGAAAATTACATGTTTTAATGTCAGCACATGAATATTCTTTTTCAGTTATGCCCATGTACAAGCAGAACAAATATTAGTTTTACTTCAGATTTATATTCAGGAGAACCTAATCTGTGGTAAGTCTTGGTTTTCTGAAAGGCCTCTGGAAAGGAAATTGTGCCGTGCTCAAAAAAAGATATTTCCACTGGAGCATCTGCAAAATCAAACTCTAGAAGAGAAAGAGAAACATTCTGCTTGCTTAGGGAAGAATGTGTTTGTTTGACCTTTTTAAAAGTCACAACTTCACAGGTCTCATTATCAACCATGATTTGACTTTGCCACATTTTCTGTGTTTTACTTCCATTAAAAAAAAAGTTACCTGTTCTAGGGCCTTAACAAAATTGGCAAACCACTGATTTTTTTGAAGCAGATTATTAACTGAGGCTGAAATTACTGTTGCCATTTTCCATTAAGGATGACATATATAGCCACCATAAAAGTGTTTTTCCAAGATACAATTAAACACACATTTCATTAGGCTAATTATCAACATTTGCTATCAGTGCACTAACAAGAAAAATACTGGAACCAGGTTAAATAAAGAGTTTGATAAAAAAATAAAGCATTTTAAATGAGTGTAAATAAGTTAAAAATGTTAGATCTGCATAAAAACTATCTATAATTTGCAATCATTTTTTATAAATGCTATAAAAATACATTGATCTTCAACAATGGGAAAGACAGAAAGATTCCCTGGAGTAAGGTCAACTCATAGTATGAGAATGTGTGTGCATTTCAGAGAATATATTTGCATGTGCCAGAAATTCAGCATCAGGAGATACAAATTAACCCAGATTTTTACATTAAGAACAAATTATATCTTGAAGAAGACATATATAGAAATCCTTTTCAAAGTCTTTTCTTGGAATAGAAAATAAAATTTTTCTGTGCACAAGATTAACAATAATTTTGTTGTCAAATTGAATTAGCTTGTTGTAAGGAGCTGTGTTGAACCCTGAGAGACACTACCCAGGGATGGTAACAGCTGTATGTGTGTAGACTTCTGCTTACCAAGTCTGTCCTGAGCAATTGGGAATGCTACCCCTCCACCAAAATCCCAGCACTCAGCCTCCCCTGAGCCTATTAGTGATCACAGGGAGGAATAGCAAGCTCTTTCTTTCCACACTCTACACAAAATATTATGGACTCCTGGCTCTTTCTAAAAGCAAACCTGCTCTTTCCCTCCCAGATTCGTTCTGGCTTTCCTATTATCACCCACATTATTGCTCTGTCTGAGGCCACATCTTCAAGTGCGTGGGCATAAAGGAAGCTCCCCACAGGCAGTTACATTTGTTTCAGCAGATTTGTATGAAAATGGAGTCATAATCATAAAAGTGATATATTAATACTAAACTGTTATATGTCAGCAGATTGCTCAAAAGCAATTACATAGGCCAAAATGAGTTTGCAATAAACTCTGAATGCTATTATTTCCAGTGTACAGTAATCTTCAGATGAATTTAAAAAAATGCCGGTTTATTTATCTGATTAACTCATTGTGGTCATAGATTAATACAAACAATTGGTCTGATAGCAATCTCTTCTACTGAAGCATTCAGTGTCATTAAACAAAGGAGATTTCTTAAATTTAAAGGTTTACTACTGCAATCTTTGTCCTGTATCTTGATCTATCTCAGTCATAGAGCTAACAGTGTTAGACCAACTTGATTCGGTTAATTACATGTTTTTCATTCAAATTATCTTACAGAGAAACTGAAGAATAATCCCAGTACATTAAAAATTGTAAAAATTATTAACAAAGGGGTTATTCTCTCCCATTAACTTACGATCTAATGTTAAGACAATCTCTTCGGATAAGTTTGGTTAAGGAAAAGTGTTAATATTATAAAAGCATCTTAAAAACATTCCATTTAGAAGACATGAGAATATCTACAGGAGAGAAAATGACAAACTCAAACAGCACATGGCTAAGCCAGAGGTTTTCAATGTATGGTTTGCAGAGCAGGATCATTTGGAGCTGAAGACAGCTGAAAACAGGTTACAGTACACACAACCTCTACATTACATTGTGTAGGAGTAAAAAATATTATCATTTCTTCTGGAAGGGAGGAAAGAGGGCATTAAAGCCTCATTCAACTTTTAAAACTTGCCATTCTGACTGCTTCCGTAATTCTGCAAGCTGGTGGAGTCGCTTGAGTGCTTTTTCCTGCTTCTTCTCATCTTTCCATGATTTTGAAGCCACATTTCGAGCAAATTCCCTTTGTTTTAAATCTTTCAATCTCTGTGTGAAAAGAATATAAACAGAAGGGATTAGAGATGTACACAGCAGATACAAAACAAGTATAATATGTATAGAGATACAGAAAAAGTTCCTCTTATTCAATTTATTCACTTTTCATGAAGTTAATGTAAATGGAGAGTAAAAGTATACTTAAAATACTATAATAGTGAGAAGAGATTGAAAATGTTATTTTTGCTTAACAAATCAACATAATATGCCCTCTTCTATTTATCTGATAAATGCCTACATACAAACAATAATTTTTGGTTTCTTATGAATACACAAATATTCTGTTGTGTATAAATACAGACACAAGACTGGAATCCATTTAATGAGGTCAACATTTTCCTGTTTAATTCATCCTGTTGAAATGTAATCCACAGGCATATACTGGAATGTGTAATGTCCTATGTGTAATATATTTTATAGTTGTCTCCTTGAACAAGTATACACAGATGTGTGAGAGCTTTGGTTTTTGTGTGGGGTTGTTTTTGTACCCTTTTAAGGCTGTATTATATTCTCAAAGGAGAGAACTGCTGCCTGAAATACTTGCTCAGAAAACTGTTTCATAGTTACTTTCACAGTTTTTAAATCTCCTCACACATCTGTAAATCAGGTAAGTGCTTTTGGAGAGAGCAAAATTCCTTGCCTTTATTGCATTTTTTTTATTTCCTGATTTTGCACTACTGATAGCATAAGGAAAACGAGGGAGAAGGCATAAAGTTGAAAGTGTCAACAACATCCCCTGGAAAAACAGTTGTCTCTGAGTTCACTGTTCTCTCTAGGAGTCAGCAAGTTGTGTCTAACCTCACAACTCCCCAGTTCACATCCATGCTTCCATACTCCATGGCAGAAATGCCTTCCCCCTTCCCCACTTCTCCAGTATTTGGGGAAAAATGTTTACATGCTGGGAGGGAGCTCTGGTGTATTCAGCCAGATGCCAAATCTGGAAGCTTTGGGGACCAGAACTGAAACTAAACTGCTGCATTTGCTTGCACCTTGGTCCAGAGGTGGCTGCACTCATCTGTGTAGTTTAGAACTACTGTATCAACACCATGAAATGCTAGATTTTCCATGGAGAAGTTTATGCAAAGTAGACTTGAAGAAAGGTTTTGATAGTAATTTTAAAACTGCTGCTCATCTTTCACCATCTATGCCTACTTGACTGTCTTCCAGCACCTAAAGATCAACATCCTAATCACTGCCATCATCATCATCTCATGCTGTTGTTTCACTACATCAGGGACAAAAGGTCAATATTCATCAGTAGAATAAATTGAAGGCAGACCAAGCATTGTAAAAGCACATATTGCTTTCTGCAGCTCAGGTATGGGGAGCAGTCTAGCCATGGCACAGAACTCTACACTAGCCAACATGCACCTGCTTCTGAGAAACAGGGCTGGAGGTAGAGTCCTCAACTTGTAGAGGTCAAGAAAATTGTAAATGCATGAGAGAACTGCTTTCTGGAGAGAGGTCTAGCTTTTGCCTATAGATTATGCCAAAGCAAATTGGTGAAAATCACCATCTATAGAGGGGACAGATTCTTTTCTGTCCATTTAAGATGAAAGAATTCAGTTAGTGGCAATGACATAATATGACAGAGCGGCATGGAAAAATACTTGGTGGAAACAGGCCATAAAAGTTCTGTGATTTCTCTCTGTGAGGAAAGCTGTAGTGAGCATCCCTCACCACTATCACATCATCTGTCCTTCAAGTATGGGATTTTTTAAAAAGTCAGATAACATCTGATAAAGAGAACTAAATGCTGGGAGAATAAGACCAGAAGTTTTTTGTTTGCTCTCAGCCTTTTGGACTCCAAGACATATACCTTTGAGCACTGATCTGGAGACAGGGAGGGCTGGGCTGTCCACAAATCATCTGCTCTGGGAGCTTAAGTTGGGTCTCTGGCTCTCAGCCACGCCCATGGCTTTGCACAGACACTCTCTGTTGGATGAGAAGTTGGAAGGAGAATGAGTTGGAAGGAGAATGGGAAGTTGCTCAAGGAGAAACAACCACCAACCAGCAAGAATATTCATGGTGCCTAGTGCCTGATGAAAGTTTAACCATTTCATCAGAACTATCTGCAGTCTGTCAAATCTGTAAGTTTTTCCATAAAGGTTTTATCAGCCCAAACATGCAGTACTTCATTGAACTAGACTCTGAAACAGGACAGCTGCAAAGTCCTCTTTAAAACTCTGAGGCTTCAGCTTCTTGGAAAGAAATGGTTGTTCCACCGTTTGTTCAGCTCTTGCCTGTCCCTTTATGTGCCTTCTCACTACTCATTTGTCCCTTGCCAGGCCTGTCACACAGCACTCCATTCCCCCAACCTCATTGTCTGCAATTTACAGTCAAATGGATGAATATGTAAGACAATGTTACTTCTGGTTCAAGAAAGAAGATTTTCAAATAATATATTAAAGCTAAAGCTGAAAAATGAAATCGGAGAATCTTCCCAGAACAAATCCAAGTGTTCTGTCACCTAGGTAATATTTACATGAGTGTAGAGATATTTAAGCTGTAAAGATCCTATTCTCCACAGAAAAACATAGGTAGTCTTGAGCCTTATTAACATGTCCAATATGAAGAAAGGGCAAAGAAACACATTTGAGGAATGCCCTTTAGGGTGGCTTGCTATGTTTTGGCTGTCACCGTGAGCTGTTCAGCATCACACATAAAGCATTCATGAGGAAAACAGAAACAGTTTCTACCTGTCAAGGAAACAAAGAGCAGTGTGAAACCGAGAACTATGGAGCTCAGTACTGCAAAGCAATGCCATTTCATTTCTTTGACAGTTAGGATGATAATCAAAAAAGCAAATGGACCAACACTAAGAATAGGAGTTCCAGCAGTATTTTTTGCTCTCTAATGGCATGCAGTATGTGTCAAAGAAGCAGAAAAAAAGAAAAAGAAATGTAGGCAAGCATAGCAGACAACTCATCAACTGGAGCTGAAATCCAAGAAATCAAAAGCTCTACAGTCTGAGGAGAGAAAGGGCTCTCCCTGCAAAACAAAATAAAGCTGCGCTGCCAGAGCTCTAGTTAAGAGTCGTAATGAAATTTGTCAGCTATGTTGGATAGATCATGGGACTGCCTGCTGAACCTGCAAAGCCCTGGTTTTCTTCACTAATAACCTGTGCCAGACTTCTGACAAGCACACTGATATTTCCTGCAGGTAGGGTACAAGAGCATGCAATTGAGCAGGTATCTGAATGACAACCCCAAGCTCAACAAGCATGCTTGAAAATTAACATTGCTTTACACAGCAGTTGCATTTTTCACATAATTAGGTACTTAACTGGGCATTGTATAATACAGGCACGTATAATAAAATATGATTTATTTAATAGCTTCCTTGTGTTCTGTCCTTCACCTATTGCAAATATAGTTGTCATGCAGTTGTATTTCTTTTTTTAGACTCATGTTCTATTCTTTCTATGTTTTTTTGTACACGTGTGTGTGTGGACATTTCCATATCAAAAAGTAAACCATCCCTTTTTTTATAAAGACTCACAGAGAGTATTAGAAGACTACAGAGTAATGTTCATTGTTATGGAAAGATTTACTTGTAGAACTGATCTGAGCTCCATTGACTCAGTCAAAACCTGCTGTATCTATGCTTTTTCTCCTGGAACTCTGATATGAATCACCAGATTTAAATGAGTTAATGGAACTGAATCTTCACTACCTACTTTTGCTAGACATCAAATAACAGTGGTCAAATACCTGCAATTTAGCAATTTCTTCCCATTCTTAATGTCAGTGGGATTGTATTTTGCTCTTTTTTAAATTGTCGCTTTATTTGGGCCAGTACTTGCTTTGCACTGACCTATGAGCACCTGAAGAATGCTCACTGCTGGCTGCATTTGTAGTACTGAGTTTATTTTCTATCCAGAGTTATAATCCTGATTTCTATTCTTCCCTGTGCAGGTAAATGTTTACCTGGATTGCTGTTCTTCTGATCAACTCCAGATGCCTTTCTTCACAACCACTGGAAAGAAATAAGCACTTTAGGGACCTAGTCACCTGTTTTTAAAGCAGCTGTCTAAAACAAGAGGTGTCTAAAACAAGAGGGATAGAGTGAAATGTAAAAGCACCTCTCTCTTTTCATTGTGTACAGAGGTTATTAAAGGTGTCTTAATTTTTTCTTTATGAAGACACGGCTGACCTCCCAGCTGAGGTGCCTTTAGACCAATGCACATGGCATGGGCAGCAAACTGGAGGAGCTGGATCCCACTGCTCTGATAGAAAATTAGCACCCACTTACTGCAATGTGGTCCTCTGGGACAAGGGAGCAGAACCAAGCTGGGGGGCTTTAAAGAAGTCACACCAATCTTTTGGTGGAAGAGGAAAGGAGAATGGCATGGCTGAATCAAGACCTGCTGCTGAAATGAAGAGGCAAGAAGGAAAAGGGAAGGTAGGGAAGGTAGGGAAGGCAGGCACAGGTATCCTGTGGGGAATATACAGATGCTGCTCAGTTGTGTAAGGCTCTGTCAGGAAGGCCAAGGTGCAGCTGGAGCTGATCTTGGCAGAGGATGATAAGTATAATAGGGAGAGCAAGAATGTCAGCCAAAAAATTAAGGTTGAGAAAGCATACTGCCAAATAAAGAAAGCAAACCAGGGTGGTGAACTGGTAACCACAAATGGGGAAAAATTTGAGCTACTCAACAATTGCTTTGCCTCATTCTTAGCTGGCAAGTGTCTCAATTTGAGGACTAGTATAGTATGGTACTGGGAGACACTATTACTACTCCTGAGTATTCTGCCAAGGGCTATGCCAATATATAGATTTTACAAGGGTTCTCAGTGTTAAGTGTTTCAGATCCTGGGAAGAACTGTTGTTGCATGTATACTGAGTAGAAAATCCTCTTCTTCTTCAAGCAGTGTAACTGTATGGATGTAAATAGAAGGAATCTTTGAGGAAAAAGTAATTTTCTATATATTAAACTAGAAAATGTCATTTTAGTATAATTGAAATTATTTTTTTTCCCATTATATTTGGAA